AATTGGGGTGTGAAAATTTTGATGGGTTTCATTCTAATCGCACATGCGGGTGAGATTCACATACACAATATATACGTACTTTATATAATTAATTACACGACCTATCTCCATCGCATTAAAGTCAAGAGTTTTAGATATCTTCGTAATAATTAGTGCATATGCAATTGGTGTCTCTAATCTAATTTCTGATATTAATTATATAAGATATTAAAATATTATAATTTCGTATTTGAAATTATATTATTTTCCGAATAAAATATGATTCAAGTAAATGCGCACGTGATGGTCAAATAAACCACACGTGAAGGTCAAACTAAATGTAATTATTAGTGCTAAACTTATCCTTAATTAAATCATATAATAATAATTATTATTATTTTCATATCATTATATTTTTTCACTCTACATTGTTTATTACTATTTCTTTTAGTACAAAAAAAAAATTTTAAAAAAATTAAAAGATCGTCATGCACATCTTGGATCAAGAAACACTCATAATGGAGATTATTCGACACTTAAACATAAGAATTGAGGTTCACCGGTAGAGAGAAGTCAGCATTCGCCAACCAGTCAGCACATTTATTTCTTTCGCGATAAATATGTTGGATCCGAACCTACCAATCATGTAATAACAAGTGTTTGATCGCACGAACGAGAACGACATGCGCATTAGCATCGTAATATTCCTTAGTGAATAATTACACCGCCAAAATGTTATCCGTTCTCATAATGATACTACGCAACCCGACATTTCAAACGAGTTAAAAATCACCGAGTGCTCTTTTTAAAATTAATTAAATAACAAAATTTTTCAAAATTTTAAATATTCTTATATTTATTTATCTTAGATTTACTTCCATTCATCAACGAATATATTGAAATAAATATTATGAAATAATTTATAGAGTAATATTATTTATTATCTAATTTTTATTATTTCAATCTTATAATATAATTAACAAAATATACAAATAAAATATTTAAAATTTTGTGTGTGTGTGTGTGTGTATATATATATAAGCACAAAAATGAATCTAAAAATTTCATGAATTAAAACATGGACGGCCCACAAAAATAAATAAACGTTCGTGTAATTTTCACCACCAATTGGAATCATTCAACACATCCGTAGAAGCTTATCCTGTTCCAAATAAAATCCAATAGGGCATTCCACGAGTTTCCCACAAAAAATCTCTCCCAAATTTCAATTTTGAAATCCCATATACTTACATACATACATATACATATACATATACATGTACATATATACATATGTATGTATATGTGAATTGATTGAAGCATTAAAAGGTAGTAGTAATACAGCACACAGCTCATATGGGCCATTACTTGACAAATCCCCCCCCCCCCCCCACCCCCC